CTCTCTCCTCCCTCCCTCCCTCTCACCTTCCCCCCTCTCTCTCTCTCTCTCTCTCTCTCTCTCTCTCTCTCTCTCTCTCTCTCTCTCTCTCCTCCTCCTCCCTCTCTCTCCTCCTCTCTCTCCCTCCCTCCCTCCCTCCCTCCCTCCCTCTCCCTCCCTCTCCCTCCCTCCCTCTCCCTCTCCCCCCCTCCCTCCCTCTCTTCTTCTTTTCCAATCCTAAGATTTTTCTTTTTTTTACCAGGTACTGTTGGCTGATTACCAGAATAAGATTTGCATCATGGCCCAAGAGGAAAATGCAATGGGACGACTCTTGAAGGAATATGGAAAGCAGGACCGGAGCAGAGCCGGGAAGATGATGACCGCTGTGGGCAAGAGCCTGAGCTACACAGCACAGCAGCGAGTTGCCCTGAGGAACCCCCTAGTAAGACTATTTCAGGAGGTTGACACTTTCCACACCCGAGCCGTAGAAGACACACTGATCACAGTCACCGAGATGGAGAAGATCCGCACCGAGTACCGTGGAGCGCTGATGTGGATGAAGGACATCTCTCAGAATTTCAACCCAGACCAGTACCATCAGTTAGAGAAGTTCAGAGAAGTGCAAGCTACTGTCAAGCAGAAGAAGGCCAAGTTTGATAGACTCAAGCTTAAAAGTCTACAGAAGGTTGATCTCCTCGCTGCCTCTAGATGTAACATGTTCTCTCATGCCCTCATTGTTTACCAGAATAATCTGATCACCTTCTCGGACAAAACCTCCAAGACCCTGAACAACGTAGCAAACAACTTCAAGGGCTATCAGCCATATGACTTCCAGGTGATCAAGGAACTTGCGGAACCTCCACGGAGACTGGAAGACGATGCGAAGGAAGATGAGGAGAATTATAAACTGGATGAGGATGATAACACCTTCTTTAATGCAGAATATCATGATGATCCAGACAAGAAGAAGCAGCAAAATAGAGAGAAACAAGGAAATAGAAGAACTAACAAAAAGGTCAATGGTGAAAAGAAATCTGACAGTCTGTTGAATCTCTTTGACTGTGCTGATGGAGAAAAGAGTGAGGAGCTTGTGTCCCTTGGTCAAGTAGACAGAGAAGCTCATCCGAGCTCAAAGAACAAGGAATCAGATTCCTCCACTTCACAAATTATGGACTTCCTCACAAATAATCCAGAAGTGCCTGATACAGAGAAGGATACACAACAGATGTTGAAAGAACTGTTCGACAGCCCAGTCCACCAATCACTTCCTGTCTTTGGTAGCACAGAAGTAGCTTCTGGTGCTGCCATAACTCCCACCAAATCAAATGAGGAGGGTGGTCTCCTCCAAGGGTTAAATGGCCTGGAGAGTGATCCATTCAGTTTACTTCAGAATCAGTCTAATCAGCAGATGCAAAATATGTTCCTCCCATCACAGCTGCTTGACTTTGGCATGCAGAGTTGGCAGCAAAGCACAGCTCATAATGTACCCAACCAACCAGGAGCTGCACAAGCTAGTGTGAGCAACACTAAAGGTTCATCTCCAGCCAACTCCTTGTCACAATCCAGACATACTACAGGGGGAGTCCTTTCTGGTCCTTCCTCAAATGCAGCGCAGAAGCAGGAGGCCAACAAGTTAGATTGGTATAAAGTGTTTCAGGATATTGACCCGCTTGCTGACCCTGCAAATGCAATCTTCAGTCAAGCGACTCATGATGACAAGAAATGCTAGTTCTTTGAGTTATTTTATAGAATATAATTATTTTCACTTACTAAGAAGAGGATTTATTCACACATAATTAACTAATTAACATAATTTGCCATTTGGATTTATCAAAATTATTTGTTCTATATTTGAGTGAATGAGAGATATTATTCTGAATTATATTTTCATTCCATGTGGAAATGCTGCTCTTGTAGGTAGATATAAGAAAGTCCATAAAACTGTTCTGATAATACTGATAGTATCGGAGAACAGTCCTGTTGGCATATATTTCCTAATATGGTATGTTCATATTTTAAGGCTTCCAGGTATGATTTGTAGTCTGGTGCAATGATAATTTTCCCCCACTAGTCCTTTTAACCAAAATATAATTGGTCAGCTTTCTAGTCATTTACAGTATACACAGTATAAATGTATTACCTATCGGAAGTTATTGCAAATGGAAGATTTTGATAGACAGTCCTGGGGATATAACAGTACTTTCAATGGAATTAGTACCTGGTAGTATGTAATATTTTTACCTTGAGGCCATTATGACTTTATTTGTTTATTATTATTATTTTCATTGTGGAAGAAAAATTGTGTTGTTGCATATAGCATTTCTACTACTTTATTTTATTGCAGGTTCCTTTACCTTGCATTTTTCAGTCATACCATTTGTTATGTATGCTTATGGGTGTCCTCAATAAATATATGTTTAAACATGAAGATGTGGGTCTTATATAAAAGAATATAAGTTATGTAGGTTGGCTTATTTAGAAGCTCTCATAGTCATCTTGCATTTGCCTACCAGTTAATTTTGCTACAAAGTCAATAGATTGGTTATCCTGATAGTGTCTTCCTTATTCTGATTCTGCCTATATTCATAAAATCACAGTGACAGTTTCTAGATTTGGAAGGTGACTGTCTTTAGAAGTACCAGTTCCTCACAGTAAATTAATCACTATGTTTATAGACTTGAATCACATTTTTGTTTTTGACTCCCACCAGTTTGGCCTCCGCAAACCCTCAGAACTTTGTAATGGTTCATGTACTGATGTGGCTGCTGTGTTCATATTTTGTGATCTGAATCAGATATCATGGTGAGAGGGTAATTGGAGAAAGGAACTATGTTATGATGCTATGCTTTCTTTGCCTGTGCTTATGTAAAGTTATCACACATGTTCTCAAACTGAGTATACCAACATTTATAACCAAATGATAGACTTTTCTAAACATACTCCTTTCTTATTCACAAAAGAGAAAGCTTTTTGGCTACATCTGCAACTTGACCCTTTGGTGCAATATTCCCTTTCTTAGCGCTACCTTGAGTTGTGTAGCATTTCAGACAAAATTAGGCTTATGTGAGAATTACCTGCCTTTTATTTTTTCATAATTCATGTTTGATTTGAAATAATTCATTGAGGGTAAATGAATTTTATGGAAATATTTTTAGGTTGTATGCTAGATTTTAAGGTCAATGTATTGTAACTATGAAAGGTGGTTATGTAGACTTAGGGAAGAGTGAATTTTTTCAAGATGTATAATATGCTGTGTTATGAGAAGCATATCTCCTCAAAACCTTGACGTCATAATACATATTATGTTCATCAGTTTCAGTGATGTTTATGATAATTTCAGTAAGCTATGGGTTTATTTTATTTATAGATTAATATTGTCTTCTGTATATGGACATATAATATGATATGGTTTTGAACAAATATGTTTTTTGCCGAACAAAAGTGAAGCAATTTGTTTATGATTGTTAGAACAATATTGAACACAAAATATTTAATCATTTTAAGATTGTTGAATTACCATATACTATATACATTGTGTAAATTTGTGACTTAATTTCCAGTAACTTGGTACCTTATTTGGAAGGGCATTCTCATTTTATACTGACAGTGGCTTTGAGGTTAGTGATTTTCTTTCAGAGGAAACAATTGTGCTCTCACAATAGTCATGCAGTGTAAAGGTTCCACTTACTATGGATATGGATTAAGTACACACCAGGCAGTGTACTTACCCTGTGGTCATATTTAACCCTCAGGTTTATATGAATGTTTGTAATTTAGAATGAAGTTTTCATCTGAGAGTGCAATGCATAGGGTAGGATGTGGTTGTTGCGAGCCATTCATTGATCCTTGCTTTGGGTAAGCCATCTTAATTTCCCTTTGTAGGATGTTTGATTGTTAAAGGTCTGCCGAGTGGACGTGTTTTGATTCTTTCAAATGCTGGTAGATTTGTTACTAGATTATTATGTTCATGCTTGTGCAGAATGTGTTCCTTTTTTGCAGTTCACTTTATTAATGTGAGACATATTCAAACCATGACTTTTTCACAGATGAAACTATATTGACAAAGTTATAGTGTTGCATTATTTTACATTGTTGGTAATTTTAAGGAAAGATTACAAAAGCTAGTCTTCGTTTTGAAACTGAATTATCTCAGAATTGCAGTATTTTCAGCCATGCTTTATTTTATTGATTTAAGGACGGTACCAGAGCCAAAGTACGATGCATTCCCCTCCTACATGTAAAGTGTGTGTGAACTATCTATTATCATCATGTCTTCTCTTTTATTTCCTTTCTTGAAAAAAAAAGAGTTCAGTTCAGCCTGCTTCAGGAATTCCATCACAGATATATTTTCACTGTATATATATACATATATATATAAGTGTGTCAATTCCTACGGAAGCCGTGATCTTGGATGATGAACGACAGGTAGGCGACCTCGTCTGTGTTGTCCAGTGACAGGTGCTGCCAGACTCAGACTCAGACACAGACTGTCTCTTGGGTACTAGATGTCTGTGGTAAGAAAACTGTTTCCAACTCCTTCCAAAAACTATGTAAGCCTTCTTTGTTTATGTACAAGATGCTGCCAGATGTATGTATGTTTCTCATATTAAAGAATGTTTAATATATATGTAATGTGTTTACTTTTTTTCCCTTTTATAGAGTACATTGCCAGGAATAATTATATTATAAATTCTCTCTTTTTAGAAATTGCAAAGGACATTATTATTATTATTATTATTATTATTATCATGAGTATTATTGTTATTTGCATATTTATTATTGTTTTTTATAAAAATAATAATAAAATGATAATGATAGTAGTGATAATGATGATAATCATAATATTAATAGTAATAATAATAATAATAGTAATGATAATATAAGTAATAATGACTATATCATTATTATTATTGTTATTGTTATCATTGTTATTATTACATTATTATTATTGTTATTATTATTATTATTATTATTATTATTATTATTATTATTACTATTTTTATTGTTACTATTATTTTAGTGTTATTATTATTATAATTGCTATCACCATCATTGCTAATATTATTACTATTATGGTTATTTGTATTAGTATTATCATTATCATTATAGTTGTTGTTATTGTACATGTTAATATTATTATTATTATAATTACTATTACTTTTATTATTTTTATATTTTCATTATTATTATGCTGATTAATTATGGCTATTATCATTATTATCATTATCATTACTGTTACCATTGCCATTATTGTTGCCATTACTAATCATTGGTATTTTTTCAACTTTTGCTGGGCATTGGGGGGGGGGGGGGTGAGCTAGGGATTTTTTTTTTTTGGGGGGGAGGGGAGGGATGGTGAATAATGCTCAATAGAATATAAACAAAATTTTATTGGATTAATGATAAGTCTATATTGACTAAATGTTATGATGTATTTTAAATTTTCACATGTATATTTTTTTTCTGGCATTCATAATATGTAAAACTTTATTCATATATCGCAGCTGTAGTTTTACTAACTAGTTGCTAACAGTTTTTTATAGAAAAAGAGTGAGTACCTTGGTACTGGTGATACTGATGTCATCTCAATACATTCATGTTTAGAAGCAAGCATCTGCTTCTGAACCTTTTTGTTGAGAGGTAAATTTAGTATTATTCTACATAAATATACAGTATTAAGATATATAAAGATCGATGATAACTAGGGATGTCAATGGGGGTGGGGGCAGCTGTACCAGTCTATTCTGTTTTGTGTGTGTCTGTAATAAAATTCTATTAGCTCTAAAAGTTGTTGGGGTGTGGGCCTTAGGAGGGGCAAGACAGACCTTGAGGGAGCAAACAGAGTCTTTGGGGGGTAATTGATTCCCCTTTTACCAATACCATTACCATTACCGCTATCGTTATCGCTAATGTTAGTATTACTACTACTACTATAACTATTGTTATATTATTATTGTTATTATTGTCATTACTATGATTATGATTATCATTATTACTGTTTTTATCCTTGCCTTTATCCATATCATTTGTCATAGTCATCATCATTAACACTATAATTATTATAATATGTAACAGTAACAACAATAATAGTAATGTATGACCGTTGTGTCTGTCAGACGGACCCCGTTATAGGTTTGTCCAAGGTAGGAATATAATGTTAAAAGAATAGAAAAGGGTTTTAAAAACTTAAAAACTTTTTCAAAGCTAATAAGGCCATGCTTTGTTGAAAACGTCTGATTGCAATGAACAGAAATCAGCCTGATTTTGCCAGGTAAAGTACTTCTTTCTTTACGTATCTATCTCTTGGTATTTCTCCAAATGTTCAGTTCGATTTTTTTTTCATAAGTGTGCAGAGGTCACCATGCACATCTATCTGAAGGCATTATCTCCTAATCACTTCATAGTAGCAAGTGTCTCCACAGAGAAGCTTTGGTCGTACTGTAGGTCCCTCACTCCCTTTGCAGGTTGTCCAAAGAGAACTTGTCTTGGGATGCGACAGCTGTTCACTCGCTGCGCATGACCGGGGACAAGGTCTGTACGCGGGTCAGTTAAAAAAAAAAAAGTATTCCTTCTTAATCATAAAAAATATCTATTGGATAAAATCATGAAGTTGTGAAGCTTTAATTTTTCAGTATAGTCTTTATACGAGTCTTTCCATCTCTGATGATGGTGTTTCTATCTTTCTGAACCAGTGATTTGTGATTAGCTAACTAACTAACTGGCACGATTTTTTTTTATTTGTGCTCCTGTCAGGCAGCAGAGCCCGTGTTACTAAAATGCCGTTATCTGGACAGTTTGCCCAAACTTTTACTCTACGGATAGTCACCATACAACTTCATGTCGTACGAGGTTACCTCGGTGCTAGGTAATTTTGCGGTATTACGCTGATTTCGCCTTGTTTATTAAGCGAAGCATCATTTCATTCTATCGTTGAAGTATATATAAATGCAGCAGATTTCCTTTACAAAACAATATTTGAAATATAACATTCTTTGTATATACAAATGCTTAATAGTTAATGGTAAAAACAAATGAATGTACTAGGCGTCAAAGGTCATATTATTGCTAATTTAATTCTAACGAATTTGTGTTTATTACTACACATAAGAGATATCCTGTATCGTATTTGGCCTTCCTACCCTTGACCTATCCTGGGAACATAACACGTTCCAGTTTCCCATGGAACAACACTTCATAAATATCAGTGGAAAGTAAGCTAAAGTTCATTGATCAAAGTAAATACTTTACACATTTTTACATAATTGTAAACTAATTGTTCCCCTTAAGTTACACCTAAAAATAGTTAGTTAGTGTGTAGCCTTCTCGTTAAAGGGAAGCCTTGCAGTATGTTTGTCCCTCTTAGGTTCCCATTTTCTGTGTAGTCCCGCTGAACACAAAAAACGTGCTGAAATAGTTCCATAATGTTGGTCACGATGCTGCAGGTTGCGATGCTCATTTTCACCTGGGATCGAGTGACCTTACTTGGGGCCACCTGAAACGAAAAGCTGACCCAGCCTCTCG